AAAAGAAAAGAAAAGAAAAGAAAAGAAAGAAAGAAAGAAAGAAAGAAAGAAGGAAGGAAGGAAGGAAAGAAAGAAAGAAGGAAGGAAGGAAGGAAGGAAGGAAGGAAGGAAGGAAGGAAGGAAGGATCTTCTCTAAGCCAAAAAAAGTTATGCTTTGATTGGAGGATTCAATTATCTGAACTACTCAAATCAATATTTTCTAAATTTTTCAAAATGATTAACTGTTGTCATATAAAACTTTCCTCTAAAGAGCTCAATCATTCTCCTAGTGAAAGTGGAGGACTTTGAGAGTATCTCTCTAGACCATCCCCAAGCTCTGTTGGACACTCACACATCCTATAATATTCTGTATCAAGCAACATTTACCATTGTGCATCAAGTTTTAAAGAGCAAAAATCTTGTTTTCTTACATAAAGGAGTAACAAACAGCAAAAATAATTAAAATAAAATAAATGTTACTAGAGTATGAAAAGTGTGCTACACAGGATGATCCATGTTTTATAGGGCTGAAACTTATTCTATTTGAGGGATATTTTTTATAAAAGAGAATATAAACTTACAAATATAAAATTAGACATGTATGTAAACATTTAGAATGAGAAAATAAATAAAACTGCAAATTTTTTTTAGATTTTAAAAAAATTTTTTAACATTTATTCATTTACGAGAGACAGAGAGAGACAGAGTATGAGCACGGAAGGGGCAGAGAGAGGGAGACACAGAATCTGAAACATGTTCCAGGCTCTGATCTGTCAGCACAGAGCCCAACGTGGGGCTCGAACTCATGAACTGCGAGATCCTGACCTGAGCCGAAGTCGGACGCTCAACTGTCTGAGCCACCCAGGTGCCTCAAACTGCAAAATTTTAAAAAGCTGAACACAAACTATGAGATCAGCTAATTCTAGTATCGAGACCAGTCTTTTCTCTAGTATAATTGAAATTATATTGAAATTATTATTGAAATTTTATTTCAGTATTGATCATTGAGAAAACTTTTATCTTCACAACTTGTTATTGGTAATGCAATAAAAATATTTAGGGTTGGTATCCAATTTTGAGAAACTTTTATCAAGTTTCTTTCCTAGAAACAAGATTTCAGAGGTTCCTGGGTGGCTCAGTCAGTCAAGCATCCAATTCCTGATCTCAGCTCTGGTCTTGATCTCAGGGTCGTGAGTTTAAGCCCCATGTTGGGCTCTGCACTGGGTCTGAAGCCTATTTATAAATACATACATACATACATACATACATACATACATAAATTCAGACATTTCAAATATGCAAATGTACATTGACCATCTCATAATGATGTCCAATTAGCAATGAATTAAAGTATTTTCCCAGTGGGTTCGTATGACTCATTGCTTTTTATTAATATGATTATCTGACAATTCTGTAGCTATTCACTCCCTTGTCTTAGAAAATATCTCCCACTTTTACTAAGTTACTATTTTAGGTATGATCTCAACATGTTTTTTTACAATTTACCTCTTATTGTCAAAATAATATTAGGTAATTTTATTTAATTTACTTAATTATTCCTCCCCCTTTTCCTTTTGTTTGCATATTTTATTATTTTTACATGAATTTTCTCTAACTTTTAAAAATAAATGTCTCAAGTGTCTATAATTTCTCACTTGTTAGATCAAAGCATTCCAAAATGTATTTCCATATAATAGCTAAATCTCTCCCCCTTAGCCTTATCCTAAAAATGCTCTAGTGACTTCACTGAGTAGAACAAGACTCAAATCATAACTAATTGCAATTGAACTGTCTTTTGCTTCACAGTAAATATGCATTTATGGTATGGAAAAATGGAAAAGAAAACCAAATTGTGCTAGGTAAGCTCAAGGAAGGCATCACAAGGTACATGAATATGGATGCCAACTCTTAGAAAATAAGGCCATGTTCATGAGGTAGGGAAGACTGTGGGCAAGAATTTGTGCAAAAGTTCAAGCCTCAGAGCACTAACCACAAACTCAAGGTTCTGCCCTGACATCACCATTTTTCTCTTCTGGTTAGTTACCCAGCATCCTTGTTTCCCAATTCCCACCTACTCACGTACCGTAGCACTTGTGGTTATTGTAACTTAAGGACAATTAAGATAAGCCATGTGACATACAAATTTCTAGGTGAAAACAGGATAAAAGCACTTTAAGATTTTGTTAAAGACCCTGAAAAGAATGTATTTGAAACATATGAAACCATGAAGGACATGTTTGTTTTCAAGTCCATGGTACCAAAATGGAACCGTGTTCTGGAGACTTAAAGGAGGCCACTTGTGGAAAATGAAAGCACACTTACTCAGTGGGCTTCATCAGCCTGAAAGGGGACAAACATTAAAGTCAAGAATTTCAAGAAAGCTTAAATGACATCATAGATGGGAGATCTGTATAAAAAAGAAATTGTATCTACTTCTTTTTTAAAAAAAATTTTTTTTTCAACGTTTATTTTTGGGACAGAGAGAGACAGAGCATGAACGGGGAGGGGCAGAGAGAGAGGGAGACACAGAATCGGAAACAGGCTCCAGGCTCTGAGCCATCAGCCCAGAGCCTGACGCGGGGCTCGAACTCACGGACCGCGAGATGGTGACCTGGTTGAAGTCGGAAGCTTAACCGATTGCGCCACCCAGGTGCCCCTGAAATTGTATCTACTTCTAATAAGCTCCTAATGTCTACTCTTTGTGATAAATATCAAAGAAAGGATATGCCATCCTCTCCACATACATGATCTTATCAAAGTCAGATGCTCTGGACTTGGATGGGCTTTTGGGGAGACAATATGATTCTGATGTTCTTACTTTCTCAAACATCTTTAAAGCCCCTTAGAAAAATAGATATTGACATCAAATTTCAAATATTAGGAACACATGCATAGTGCACATATCTTTTTTGATCAAGGTGATGGTTAATTTTATGTGTCAGCTTGACTGGGCAACACAATGCCCAGATATTTGGTCAAACATTATTCTGGGTATGTCTGTGGTAGTGTTTTGGGATTTGGAGACTAACATTTGAATCTGTAGGCTGAGTAGAGCAGATTACCCTCCCCAGTGGGCCTCCTCCAGTCTGTTGAAGGCCTGAATAGAACAAAAAGGCTGACCCTCCCATTAGAAAGAGGCAACTCCTCCTGCCTGATTAGTGGATCATTGGTCTTTTCCTGCCTTCAAATTAACTGAAATATTGTCTCTTCTTGGGTCCTGAGTCTACCCCTCCTTTCTCCTGGTTCTCAGGCCTTCAGACTTGGACTGGAACTACATCAGAGGCTCTCCTGGGTCTCCAGCCTTCTGACTGAAGATCTTGGGACTTCTCAACACCAATTTTTGCATGAGCCAATTTCTTACAATAAAATGTTTCTCTCTTTCTCTGTAGATATATATAGATATATGGATAGGTAGATAGATTGATCGATCTAGAGAGAGAGTTTTGTTCTGTTGATTCTTGTTTCACTGGAGAATCCTAACTAATACAACTTATATAAACATGCAGAATTTAATAAGGTATCTAAGAAAAAGATGTTTAAATTAATATTCACACATACTTAATCTAGTCTGTATGTTTGGCCAGAGATATGGCATAAGGGAACAAAGGCAAATCCAATCTATCAACATACAATCATGGAAGTTAAATTTGGCCTACTTTACAGATAAGGAAAATGATATACAGTGAGTTTAAACAT